TAGCCAAGCCTTCCACCATGACCAGTACTGTGCACGAAAAGCCCGAGGACTGGACGTGCAAGAGACGATGGATCGGATTCGAAGGAGCGCGCCCAACTTCCAGGTTCAGGTAAGCTTCGTCCAGCCCATCAGCACGCTCTGGTCCCACATCGGGGTCTCCATCCGCAGCACACACTCTTTCTGAAGCGAGTTGGTCGCCCTCTCGTAGGAACAGAGCACTGCTCTGAGCATGCCGCCTTCCTTGCCGCACAGCAGGGCCACCGAAGGCGGCCGCGCAGCCGCGAAGACGGTGACGGTCATCGTTCCCTGTGTGGCCAGTCAGTAGCCACCGAGTGGGAGAAGGAGGTAGGTGGGCAAGCAACGTACGGTATCGATCAGGGTAAAGAGGCGGTGTCCCGGGGGCAGACGGACAAAGTTGACACGGGGATCGGCGCCCATCCGTTCGTGGAGCATCTTCGAGCAGTACGGGCCGCTGCTTGGGGTGTAGGAGAAGCGGCCGATGCTGTTCCCGAAGGTCATGTGCTCGATCTCCTCGAGCGGGAGCGTCCCCTCGAAGCCGACCAGCCACGGCGTCGCGCCCCAGACTTTGCCGCCGTAGAGGACGGTGATGGCCCACGGCGACGTGACCAGGAGCAGGATACCGATCACGAGCAGGATCGCGCCGATGCCGCGCAAGGACGGGTACGCGCAAAACACGGCGCCGATGATGAACCAGAGGGGACCAGTGCGGATCGCGTACAAGGCCCACAGCTTCTTCCACGTGTCCCGGACCCGGAACGCGATCCGGGGGATGTCTTTCCAGCGGATGCTGATCCCGTGGCAGCCGTCGACGATCAACGACCCGTCGTGGCATACGCCTGCAACCTGGCACAGTGGCTCAATGTCCCAGAGACTGGCCCCGAGGTCGTCGGACGTGTTGAACCAGCCGACGTGGCCGGGCATCCTGGCCTGATCCATACAGATCATGCGCTCGACGATCCGATCGCTGTCGTTGGCGAGCGAGAGACGGGCGAGGGCTTGCAGTTCGGAATCCGAGGGGTCCATCCGCGGTCGCTTGGCCAAGAGGGTCATGAGAGCGTAGGCAACATCGCCACGCTGGAACTCTCTCCACTGCCGGGAGCGCAGGGCGGTGAGGCCGATCTGGATGAGCTCAAGGCGGGACAGCGTCAAGGTTCCCGTGTAGTGCTCGGCCAGAAGGCGGAATGTTTCTTCGATGTGGGGATCGTGCTCAATCCGCTGGTCGGGGAGAGTTCGGTAGGCCCAACCGCGATGGACCATCTCCATGATATCGACCGTCTCAGTCGCGTCCACGTTTTGGAGACTCTGGGGTCCAGGTGTACAGAGCATCACCTTGTGATTGCGAGACAAGAGAACCTCAGGCAAGCACCAAAGTCTCTGACCAAAGAAGATGAGCGCACTCGGGGACGCATCCGGCAAGACGATGCAGATTTGGTGCGCGCCTCTCACGACATCACAGAAGCGATGGACATCATCGGTAGCTTCCGGTTGGTCTACGGCACGGCAGTGGTAGTCGCACCAGTAGGCCTCCACACCGAGTTGCTCGCAGAGTCTTCGGGCGCGGAAGTCAAGGGTCTGGGAGTCCAAGGTCGTGGCATCCGGTTCTTCCGACGTGGGATCGGGGCGTTGGTATTGGGCTGCGGCAAAGCTAATGAAGATATAGAGGCCCGTATAGCTACCATTGTCGACGACTTGCCACCTACCTTCCCGGTAGACAACCAAGGCACGGGGTCGGATGAGCCGCTTCTGCTCTCCCTGGATTTCGTACTCTTTGTCGCTGTCATTCGATTGCTGGCCCTTGACTTTTGTCGAGACATTTGGTGCCGCATCGAGAGCGTTGAGTGCATGTTTGGGATACTCGTAGCATCGGTTGGGGAAGCCCAAGTACTGCGACCTCGCAGCGCCCGGGCCGTTACTGAGTGGCCATGAGACGAGGAGCAGGATGGCCGGCACAGCGAGGATCGATTTTCCCACGGCCAAAGCGATACTTTCAATCTTGTCATGGTTCGTTTCCATGCCGATGGCCCAAGAAGCTACCTTCAACAGAGTCGGTGCGTTTCCACCAACACTTCGACGGCGCCATTCTCCCGGTGGCTGGGTGTTCGGGCCGTCAGCAGCCTGGACCAGCATGTGGTATGGCTTCCCGAAGGTAGGGCTGATGTAGCGAGCCAAATCTCGTGGCCGGTAGGTTTCTCGCTTCAGGACATCTCGATGGAAATATTGCTCAGCCGGGGCAAGAGGCCCGTTCTTCTCGACATCACGTAGGGTTGGGTTTTGGTAGTGAAGACCTTTGAACCAGCCGGTACCCCCATTATAATGCTGACTGATATCGACCGCGGCAGGGCCCGTGGGCTGCTGCTGCGGTGTCTCCAGACGTTAGTGACGGTTTGTAGATCACTGAGTCAAGCCTACTTGGAAATCTTGTTGGTGCTCCATCTCGTCAGAATCTCTCCGTCGACGTCGAGTACCGTTCGCACAGCTGAGCAGAGGCAGCGGGAAAGTCCCAGAGGGCCGAGGGAGGACATCGGAGCAGTTATACCACGCACTACACGCCCATCCGTTTATGAGCCCATACTCGATGGATACACCGAGTAGGCCTGAATTAAGCCTCCACGGGGCCTCGAATCCACAGGGGCTGGGCTCAGCACGTTTCCATTCACCTCACGCCGATCATTGGCTTGGAGTTGAAATAGGCTGCGTGCTGTGCCGTATTGTGACAGCCCTTGAGTGGCCACATCCTCAGCCTCGGGTAATTGGGCACGCCGAGGAGAGTGAAGCTCGACGCAAAAGGTCACTGCAGTATTATAATAAATTGAAGAAGAAAAAAAAAAAGTCTAAATTTTTTTTGTTTTTAAAAATGTGTAAATGAAAAAAAAAAAAAATCTTTTAAAAAAAGATCATTATAGGTACTCGTTGATAGCACACAATACTGACGGCAGAGGACGTAACCCAGGCCGAAGAAATCTCGAACCTGACGCCGCGATCCCTATCGATCCTCCGTTGAAATAGGGTCTTCCGCATCAAACCAATGTGCATAAAAAAAACCAGCGGGAACACCTAGCTACCCACCTACCCACCCACCTCAAGGAATGTAGGTACCCACGCGCCTCGCGCCACCGGCGCCCGAATCCGGCGCTGCGTGACCCCAACCCCAACCCCAACCCCGACACCCCCAGACTAAATTTAGCATACGATCACGGCACGCAGCCACAAATATATTGATCTTGACGGGGCAGCTGGTGCCGCCCATCGTTCAGCTCCCAAAGCCCTCCCGGGAAAAAAAATTGGACATGTACTACTACCTATGTCCTCTAGGCTTGGGCGCGACGGGGTGGGGGGGGGGATGCGAATGCCAAAGAACCCGTAAGAGACGGCGAAAGGGATGCTGGAGTTCCAGGTTTTCGCGCGCGTAACGGGGCGTGATGGGTAGGGAAAGAAGGGGGGGAAGAGGGAAGAGGTTCTGGAGCGTCCTAGGTATACTGGTACCGGTACCTATCTTGGCTCTGTCGATGATGGCGCGGCTGTGGACGTGGGTCGTGGGTGCTGCTGGAGGAGACCTGCGACGCGACGGCAGTGCTGGCGGCGCGATGGGAAGGAATACCGTGCGTGCACGGAGATGGTTACTGTAGCAGCGATGCTGGGGTGGAAGTCCGCCGCCGTTAGGAATTGGGGATGGCTAGGTAGGTACCGGTACCTATCGGTGGCGTGGCGAGGTCTTGAGGAGGTTGGACCTGGAGAGGTAGGATAGGTAGGATAGGATAGGAAGCTAAACTCGATTTTGAGTTGCCAAGAGCGCATCGCTAAAGAAAGGCTAGAAGCTAGAAGGCTATTACCTACCGGTACCTATTCAACGGGGCCCTGTTCCCACACCGCACTATACCGTACCTACCTATGCCAATGACCAAGAAGAAGAACTCGCTTGAGTAGAGAAGTTGGGCATCTTTCGTTAAGAGGCGTCAGAGGAGGCCGGTTTATTGATTCTGATTCGAAAATGCCATGCATTTTCCCTGGAGCCGCTGGCAGAGTCTGTTGTGCTGCGATCTGTATACCGGTAGCTAGCTAAGCTGAGCTTACTTACACCCCAAGCGTAGATCTCCTAAGCTGAAGCGTGCCCGCTACCGTCCAAGAAGGGAGGAGACCGCGGCGACAAGCATGAGAGCATCCCGAGCGTCTCTGGACCGAAGGCCCCCTCGTCGGATTTATTCTAAGGCTGGACTGGAACTGGACGACTCTGTGGGCCCCTGATAACCCAAGGGATATTTAGATGATCGAGAGCAGCGTCCCATGATATGCGATATTCAAGTGGGACGGACTTACTTGCGAAAGCTTGCTCGACTTTGTAGCTGTGTTCCAAAAGCTGTGTTGGCTCGAGGAGGTGTTTGAGTAGCTGGTGATGCCTTGCAAGACAGTGTCAGTGTCGATACCCAAAGCCGTGCTTCCAGTTGACGCTGCTCAGAAGATAGTGTGTCCCGGTGTCGACGCGGCGAGGAACATCGTGACGCCGGTCGTTTATCCCGTCGCTTTGGAAGAGACTGGCTTGCAGGCAAGGCAAGGCAAGGCAAGGCAAGGTATCCAGGGCCCTCTCCTCTCCTCTCTTCTCTCTCCCATCTCCGCTGTTGGAAGACTGCGTGATGGGTTTACGGTGAGCCCAATTCCTGTTGTGCGGGGTGGGACGAGGAGAGGAGTGAGTCGCCGGCGACTCTGGCTGCCTACTCTCTCATGGTACGGTGGTATGTAGGCGTGGTACAGGTACATAGCTCTCAGCTCTCTCTCGCTAGATCTAGTAGCAGTGCCTTATCTGAAGTATCGGTCCTGTGATCCTATTTCGCCCTGTCCTCCGCCTTCCTCCCTCCACTCTTCCCTCCACCCCGGTAAACCGATAGAGCGTACGTAAAATCACCTTGCGCGCTGGCGGTCGGTCGGTCGGTCGGTATTCCATTCTAGCACGGCGATAGTTTAACCACACCTCATCTCAGCCCTAACTGCAGCCCAGCTTTCCTAAATCCCTAGATCCCCAAATCCCCTCCCCTCTCCACCCCCTCCCCCCCC